TGGTAAAAAAAAAAAAAAATTCAAATAGTACAAAACATTATTCACCGGAAAGTAAAACTCCCTTTAAAAACAGATTCTTGGGGGCTTCCCTGGTGGTCCAGTGGTTAAGACTCCACGCTTCCACTGCCGGGGGCACATGTTTGATCCCTGGTTGGGGAACTAACATCCCACATGACACGCGGGGTGGCCAAAAAAAAATAAAAAAATAAAAACAAAATGTAAGTGAAAAAGGTGAGAAACCAAACAAGGTTGACAGCCCCAGCAAATTCAAGCATCTTTTAACAACCCACATCCACACAAGCACTCCGGATTTCTCACGGATGCCGTTTAAGGACACACCCAGTGCCTCAGAGTGGGCACCTGCAGGCCTGGGATTAGATGTGGGACCAGAGATGGAGGGAGAAGCAGCAAACAAAACAGGGGTGGAAAGGAAGAGAGAGTCTCCCTCCTCCAGCTGCCCCATTCCCCTTCCTCAGGGACCTCAGCACTGCCGGTTCCCTTCCAGAGAGCATCTGGGTGAACCAGCACCTCTGCACTCAGTTGTTGGGAAGTTCGTATGACTATTTTCATCAACTCTGACATGGAAGTTTACACTGGCTACTTTCTTATATTCAGACATATCTGCTCTCTTGTTCCTTGTATTGAAAGTGGGCCATGAAAGCACACTTCCCTACTAGTTCTTAGTGAGGACACCTCACCTTTTCCTTCATCACTGTCAAGTTCACCGTATCTTTACTTGATGAACAGATGATGTTGGTAGACAGAAATAAATAACTTTACGTGTTAGGAGCACCTAGACTATGGGAGACCAAAAGAGGGACGGACCTGCCCCTCTCCTGGCACCCGCTGATTTCTAGGCCAAGGTGGTGGAAAGAATTACCCGTGTAGCTCAGATGGCTGTGTGTTGGCATCCGTATATTTAAGGCTTCCACGTGCTATAACTGCAGTGTGATATGGTCCAGGTAAAATCATAGGCAGTCGTTGCAAGCTTGGGCAGGTAGAGGTTTGAGTCCTGGCTGGACACCTTACCTGTTGGGAAGCCCAGTGAATGACCTCCCCTCTCAGCCCCAGTTTCCTCCTCTGTAAAATGGGGCCATGGTAGAGCCCGCTGTACAGGGTGAGTTGGGATCCGGTGAACTGGTGTGTCCCGCATTAACTGCGGGGCTTGGCCTACAGAGAGTGTTCCCCGCCCACTAGCTGTTGGACATTGCTGCTGTCAGCGTTGGTAAATCAGAGCCCTGCCACTCACACCACGTGACCTCAGACGAGCAGCTGGTTTCCTTCTCTGCAAGGTCCTGCCGTCACGGGGGCGTCGTGAGCATCAAGGGAGCACTGTGTATGCAGGCCCAGCACGGGGCCGCATCTCAATCCATGCTGGCTAACTTTACAGTCACTGAACTCAGCGGTGGGCAACCTGCTTCATCGCGGCCCTGAAAAAAGAAATCCACTGCTCTCTGGAGGCCCGTGCTGGCCATCCCCTCTCCCTCTCATCATTTTTAGTGAGAGCTTCTTGCTTATTGCTCGGGCAGTGGGTGTTAGTCATTTCACAGGTCGCGTGGAATCCTCAAGGGCTGCAAACAAGTTCGCAGTTACCCCACTAACTAAGGCTGGGACCAGGACTGCAAATGCCAGGCCCAGGGCCCCATTTCCTCCATCCTGAGACCCTGTTACCCCAAAGCGAGGTCCCATTAACTCCCTGCCGGAGGCCCTGTCGTTTCTGTCACAGCCACAGGCCTGCTGAGCTGTCCTGGAGCAGCATCTCCCACAGTTAATTGTAAAAGGGCACATCAGTTGAGCCGCTGAAGGGCTTCTTCAGGGCTGGGTGGGGTGGGGCTGAGCACTGAGCCTTCTGCCTCCCAACTGAATCAAGGTAAAGGGAGCTTTCTGAGCCCATCTCCCCACTCCATCTTCCTGTTGGAGTCCCGGGGAGGAAGTGACTTGCCCAGGCCCATGACTTTTGCCTCAAAGCAGCCACCAGAACCCAACCTCTTGCCTGGGGAGGAAGGTGGCAGGGAGAGGAGGAGGATTTGCCCTTGAGTTGTCAAGCCTAGAACCAGGCGGGGGCGGGGTGGGTGCGGCCCCCAAGTGGGAAACACTAGAGGAGACGCTTTGCTGCTTCGCTGAGGCAAGTGAACGCTGAGGCTCCCAAGATCGTGCCTCAGACTGAGTCCCATCACCTTTGGGTCTGCAAGACCCTGTGGGGAGGACGGAGCAGGCGTGTGAGGGGAGTAGGCATGGGATTCCCCCCGCAAGATGATCCATTTTTCTAGAGCAAGGGCTCAGCTGCCAAAGGGAATACTTGTTTACCGGCTATAGGGCGCCTCTGCCCCTGTTGCTCTGTAGGAATGCAGGTCCAGGGTGGCCGCATCTTGTGATAAGCTGGCAGGAGAGTTTGATGTAAAACCTTGTCAGATGTTGGCAAACCATCAAACTGTCTAAAACATACTGGCCTACCAGATCGGGGCCGCCGGCTGCCAATATGCACCCCCCCATCCTGAAACTTCTGTGAGGCATGGCACAGGAGGTGTGGACTCCATGAAGCTGATGTCCCCTAACCTCAGGGACCCTGCAGAAACCAACCAAGCACCTAGGGAAGCTCCTCAGCCTGGGGTGGCGGGAGGTGGGGTGGCGGGGGGGGGGGGGGGGGGGGGGGGGGGGGGGGGGGAAGAAGGCATGTGGCCCCTGGGGGCCTTCTCATGCTATGCGTGTCCTCCCCAGTGTATGCTGCAGGCAAAGCTGCCACCTCAGGCGTCCCAAGCATCTACGCCCCCAGCACCTATGCCCACCTCTCCCCTGCCAAGACCCCAGCCATGATTCCCATGGGCCCTCTGTACAACGGGTACTCTGGAGACTTCGACAGGAATAGCTCAGGTGAGGTCGGGGGGGAGCCAGGAGCAGCTGGGGCAGGGGGTAGGCTGGATATTTGGCCATTAAGGGGTCTGGGGCTGGAAGGGGGGCTTGGGGGCTGGGAATGCAGGGTTTTCCTCCTGACAGCCAGTCTCCCCCAGTTGGTGGCCACAGCTCCCAGGTACCCCTGCTTCGTGACACAGACAGCAACGTGACCTCTGGTGAGAACCAATCCTTATGAGGTTGGACATGCCTATAGGGGAGGGGGCTGGGTCAGCATCCAACCTCCCGGAACTGATCACCTCCAACTCCTGTCCCCAGAAATCCGTAGTGGCTATAGGATTCAGGCCAACCAGCAGGACGACTCCATGCGGGTCCTGTACTACATGGAGAAGGAGCTGGCCAACTTTGACTCTTCTCGACCTGGTCCCCCAAATGGCCGTGTAGAGCGAGGTGAGGAGCCTTGGGGTCTGAGGGATTCTTGCGGGGGTTGGGGGAAACATGACTCCCTGATACCTGCTCCAAATCCTGGACACAATCCCTCATTCCCTACCATGGCCACAGTGAAGTGTACGATCATCACTAAATAGATGAAAAGCCTAGGGCCCCCTTGAGAGTATATGAGCCAAGTGGGTGACATTGCTGGACCACAGGGCTCCTGACATTAGGTCCTGACCTCCTCCCACCAGTGACACCTTCCTTCCCACAGCCATGAGTGAAGTCACCTCCCTCCATGAGGACGACTGGAGATCCCGGCCTTTCCGGGGCCCTGCCCTCACCCCGATCCGGGATGAGGAGTGGGGTCACCACTCCCCCCGGAGTTCGAGGAGGTGGGAACAAGAGCCCCCCCTGGACCGGCCAGGGAGTGGCTGGGGGGCCGGGCGGCCCCGAGCCCGTTCTGTGGATGCTCTAGATGACCTCGCCCGGCCGGGCTCCGCTGAATCAGGGAGGTCTCCCCCAAGTGGTGGGAGGAGAGGCCGGGCCTGTGCACCCCCCCGAAGCCGCAGCCGTGATGACCTCTACGACCAAGACCAAGACGACTCAAGGCACTTCCCACACTCCCGGGATCCCTACTATGATGACTTCAGGTCTAGAGGCCGCCCTCATGCTGACCCTAGGGCCCGCTACCACCCCTCCCGGGACCCTCCAGGTGATGGCTCCAGGTCTGGGGACCCCCAATATGATGGGCAGCTACTAGAAGAGGCCTTGCGGAAAAAGGGGCCAGCGGAGAGAAGGAGACCTTACAGGGAGGAAGAAGAGGAAGCCTACTACCCTCCAGCGCCTCCCCCTTACTCTGAGACTGACTCCCAGGCCTCACGGGAGCGGAGGCTTAAGAAGGTGAGTGAACGGCCCTACCTGGCTCTAAGAGCCTTCCTGGACCCTCTTCTCCAGTCCTCCCCAGCTCACATCCTTCTTTCTTTTTCCCTTGCAGAACTTGGGCCTGAGTCGGGAAAGTTTAGTCGTCTGATCTCAACGTTTTGTATGTAACTTTTATACTTTTTTTTAAATTTGAGGAATTATTGATATTCTCCTCCTAAGACTAATAAAACTTATGATCACAAGTCCTAAGTCTGGAGGGAAGCGTTTGTTTTGCTGCGCGAGGTGGGGAGCCCGGACAGCTGCTGTGTGTGTCTGCAAAAGGCCGCATGTCCAGTTCTCTCTTGGGACTTGCGTCCCGACCCAGGAGGAAAGGACCAGCTCTGCCTTCTCCGTCTCTCGGCGGCCAGGAATACGTGCCCCACGCTGGCTCCGCCCCGCCCTGCGTGCGCGCCCCCGGACCCGCCCAGACGTGCGCATGCGCCTCGGGCCCCCGCCTTCGCGCACCACAGCGCGGCCGCCGGGGGCGCGCGTGCGCGCTCCTCTCCCCTTCCACCCCATCCACTCTTCCCCCCGCCCCCGACCTACTTTTCTGTCTCCAAACCCCGCCGCCTGCCTCGTTCCCGGCGACCAGAGCCCCTCCTCCGGGTTCCCCGGCGTTCCATCCGGGCCCGCGTTCCACTCGGGCGGCCCGCCGGCGGGTGCCGGGGCGGCGGCCGCGCTGGCGGCGACGGCGACCTCGCGCCCCGCCGACACCCGGGCCCCCGCACCCGCCCTCCATCGGAGACAGACAGCGCGCGCGCTCCCCGGGGGCTGCCCTCCCCCCGCGCGCGTCGGCCCCGGGCTCGCGCCGCCGCCGCCGCCGCGCGCGCGCAGCTCAAGTAAAGGAGGAAAAAAAAGGGGGAAAAAATAGAAAGCGGCGGCGGCGGCTGCAGCAGCGATCCGCCGCCGCACTGGGCCAGGCCGGGCGGCGGACGCGCGAGCCGGCGACCCAGGGGAGAGGCTGCGGCCATCCAGGGCGGGCCGGGTTAAAAAAAGTCGCGGCGGCGGCGGCTACTCAGGGAAGGAGGCCCGAGGGCCGCGAAGAGCGGGCGGGGGGCGGCTGCGCTGCGTCCCGGAGCCTAGAGCCGCCGGGAGCCGGCCGGCGGGCGAGAGGGCGGAGGCGGCTGCAGGAGCAGCGGCGGCGGCGGCGGCGGCGGCGGCATCTCCTCCTCACATGACCCCACTGTTTGTCCCCGTGATCAGCGCGAGCGGCTCCCGTGTCTCCTCCGTCCCCTCCTGCCGCGCGGCGTGAGCGCCGGGCTCGGGGCCCCCCCGGCCGCCCGCCCCCTCCCCTCCCTCCCTCCCCTCCCCTCCCCTCCCCCCCGGGCCCGGCGCCCCCCCCGCCCCCCCCCCCCCCCATGGACATGCTGGACCCGGGTCTGGATCCTGCTGCCTCGGCTACCGCTGCTGCTGCCGCCGCCAGGTAAGGGAGCCCGGCCGATCCGCGCCCCCGCGCGCCCTGGCCCCGGCCCTTCGGCCTGGCGGCCGGGCCGCCATGATCCCGAGCGGCCGCCGGGCCCAGCTCAAAATGGAGGCCGCGAGGGAGGGAGGACCCGCGCGAATATCCCTGGCCCCCGGACCTGGCGGTGCCGCAGCCCCAGACTGGGGCGGGCGGGATGGGGGCCCTGCACCTGGGCGAAGGGGCGGGGGCGCGGGCAACCTTGACCCCCTCTTCTTCCCGTCCTCCCCGCAGTCACGACAAGGGACCCGAGGCAGAGGAGGGCGTCGAGCTGCAGGAAGGTGAGTGCTCGCGGGGCCCACCGGGGCCGCGACCTGCGCCCGGGAGGGCACTGGGAGCGCTCTGGCCCGCGCCACCTCTGACCATCCCCCCTACCCTCCTCCGACCGCAGGCGGGGACGGCCCTGGGGCGGAGGAGCAGACGGCGGTGGCCATCGCCAGCGTCCAGCAGGCGGCGTTCGGCGACCACAACATCCAGTACCAATTCCGCACAGAGAATAATGGAGGACAGGTGAGCCTGCGGGCCCGGAGACCGGCGGGCAAGTGGAGGGTTGAGCCCCGGGTAGAGTGGGCGGGCTGGGAGGGGCTCGGACCTGGCCCCTACCCGGGCCCCAGCGCGGGTCTTCCTTCTCTGCCGCCCCCTGCAGGTGACATACCGCGTAGTCCAGGTGACTGATGGTCAGCTGGACGGCCAGGGCGACACAGCAGGCGCCGTCAGCGTCGTGTCTACGGCTGCCTTCGCGGGGGGGCAGCAGGCTGTGACCCAGGTGGGTGTGGATGGGGCCACCCAGCGCCCCGGCCCCGCTGCTGCCTCTGTGCCCCCAGGTCCCGCAGCGCCCTTCCCACTGGTAGGTGCCCAGCAACCCCCTGGGGGGATGGAGAAGGGACACTGCCTCTGTTCTTGGGGGAGCCCCAGGGGGTGGGGCACGTGGGACCAAGATGCTGCCTTCAGGCCCTCAGGTGAAATTTCTGTTCTGCACAGTGCAACCTGGGGCAAGATCTTTGGAACATTTTTTTTTTGTGAAAGGGGCATCACGGTAACAGGAAAGTCTCTTAAGAGTTAAAAGTGGGTCACTTCACTAAGTGATTGCTGAGTATCTGTCGAGTTCCAGGGCTGTGAGGCACAGGGCAGAGTGGCACACACAGAGGGGTTCCCCACTCTCCCTAGAGAATGCAGTAAACATCAAATATGGCAACTAGGGGATGGATTGGGGAACAAAGATGGCTAAGGGTGGCCTCTGTCCTCCTACTCCCTAGGCTGTAATCCAAAATCCCTTCAGCAATGGTGGCAGCCCGGCAGCTGAGGCTGTCAGTGGGGAGGCACGATTTGCCTATTTCCCAGCGTCCAGTGTGGGAGATACCACGGCTGTGTCCGTACAGACCACAGACCAGAGCTTGCAGGCTGGAGGTAAAGGAAGGAAGGGGCCAGGGCGGAAGGCAGGGGAGGCAACAGGCCTAGCAGGGAGGGAAGCACCCCCGGCCAGGTCTGACTCTGTCCCCAGTTTTAGCACTGACCCCTGCTTTCCCTGCAGGCCAGTTCTATGTCATGATGACGCCCCAGGACGTGCTTCAGACAGGAACGCAGAGGACAATTGCACCCCGGACACACCCCTACTCCCCGTATGTGCCGGAGACCTGGTCCCAGGGGTAGGGGACACTGGGAGGGCCTGGTGTGGGGGCCCAAGGAAGGGAATGTGTTTCTGAAATCGGAGCCAGGCAGTTGAGTACACGGCAGGCAGTTGGTGTATTTTTTGGTCGGTTTTTGTTTCTTTCGTTTAAGTAAAGAAAATGCCATGTTCTCTCCTCTCTCTCGTTTTTTCTCTTTCTCTCTCTGCATATGGATACGTGTTGCAAAGATCATTTTTAAGTCTGACTCCTTAATAAACGTTTGGACCAATGGGCTGGAGGTAACATGCACCTATTTTTTTTTTTCTTTTCTAGGAAAATCGACGGAACCAGGACACCACGGGATGAGAGAAGGAGAGCTCAACATAATGAAGGTAAGGTCAGGGTGGAGCTGCTGGGCCTCACGGGCACAGCCTGGCCCGGTGCTTGGAGTCACAGATCAGCAGGCATGCGACAAGTACGTGAGAGGTGCTTGTCGAATGCTGGAAAAGCAGAAATGTGGAGGTTCGCTGTCGTGAGCAAATAGGCAGGAGGTGTGAGCTGCAGCGTGTTTAACATCCTGGCTAGTGACTTTGAATTAATTACTAATATTTTAAATGGCAAGTTTCACATTCATGTATGGATTTCCTGCTCCTTTTGGAAAGTTGGGTTGGTCTGGCTCACCTGGACCTGCCTTCCCACAAAGCAGCTGTTTTGCTCAAGCCCTCCCACGCCTCTGCCGGCCTAGCTTCCAGGAGTAGCTCTGGTCTGAGAGAGAGTACATCTGAAGATGAAACTGCGAGAAGTCCATGTCTCTGGCTGAGGCCAGAGCATGTCCAGGGGACACTTCCACCCAAATAGCCATCATTCAGCGGATATTTCCTGAAGGTGGATATTAGGCTGGGCAGTACATGCCCCGTGCCACTAGTCTGGAGTGTCCAGGAAGCTCAGAGTAGTTCAGGCTGTTTGATTGAACACTGACTGGGGGATCAGGTGACGTTTCCCCCAGGGAAGTGGCCTTTGGGAGTGCCTGTCCAGCAGAGGGAAGCACAGGAAGGCAGGGTAGAGTGAGGTTGCTTCGTGGGTGCTGGTTTGGTTAAAGCAGAGGTTCTATGTGGAGTGCTTGGGAGGAGAGAGTTGGGAGGGTCAAGGAAGGCCTTGAACGTCAGGGTGAGGACCTGAGAGTCCTAAAGGTGTTTGATTGGGAGGTGGGCGTATGCGGCTGTGATCTAAGCTGCTCAGTGAGTTCAGGCATTCATTCAGCACATACGTACTGTGTGCCAGCCCCTGTTCTAGGCCTCAGATACAGCAGCAGATAATGGAACAGACACCTTGGCTCTTGCAGGGTGTTCATTCTGGTGGGAGAGACAGAAACTACAGAAAGCTACAATAAGACGTCAGGGAACATAAGTCATGTGTCACGTGAAGGAAGATAAGCCCGGGTAAGGAGATGGAGGGTTATGGCGGCAGTGTGCTCTGTAGCCCTCTCTAGGAGTGACGGCTGAGCAGGGGCCTGAATGGGAAGAGTCCCAGGCAGCGAGGGACAAGCAAGTGCAAACACCCAGGCCTGGGCTGGAACAGACTTGGTGTGTCTGAAGAAGAGCAGGTTTCAGGAAAGATAAGAGGAAGTTGGTGGGGTCGTGGGTGGCCTGGCCAGGGCCAGATCACGTGGGGCCTTGTCAGAGGCCTTCCTGGGGTCCCCATTCCTAGGTTTTTATTCTGCTTCGAGGGGAAGTAAGCAGAGGGATTGTGTGTGGAGGCTGGATGGTGAGGGTGGTGGGGCACCAGAGGTTAGGGAAACGAGAGTTGACTGCAGCTGTGGGCCTCAGACAGGGCGGGGCCTGAACGGGGCTTGTGGGGGCCCGAGCTGTGGGGCGGAGGAGCACAAGGCTGCAGAATCAGGATTTCGTGAATCAGGCTTTCATGACGGGGTCAGGTTCATTTAAAGGGGAGGGTTGAGTGTGAGCTTGGTTTTGGGTGTGATGGGTTTCAGGGGTCTCCAGTTGTCTACCTTGGGCAGTCCTGCTCTACTGGCTCTACTGGTCGTATGACCTTAGGCTGGTTCTTAACCTCCGCGCCTGTTCAGTCCTCTTAAGAACGCGTTAACGCGACTGACTACCCCAGAGGCTCGTAGTGAGGGTGCAGCACGCTGAGTCGTGAGCCCCCAGCAGGGTGGTGTGCCGCCTGGTAAGACCACAGCTAACGATCGGGAGACCAGCCAGCCACCCTCCACCCTCCTCGCACTCTGCCTCTCACTGGATTAATCCAGCTCCAAAGTCGTGACTTCTCCTCATCCTGTAAAAATCAGTCTCGCTGCGACCTTGCCCTTGCCCTCCAGCTGTGACCTGCCCACTCTCTCCTAACCTGCAGTGTTTGACCCACCCTCTGCCTGGCCTCCCCGTACCCTTGGCAGTCTGGCTCATTTCTCTATCAAAACGGCTCTATTTAAGGTCACTCGTGATGACCTCATTGCCAAATCCACTAGGGCTTCCTTTCCTGTCTGCGCTCCAAGCATCTGACCCTGCCCGTTCCCCTCCTTTCGGGAATGTTCCTTTCTGCTCTACCTGCTCTGATTCTCCTTTCCAGCCTGCTCCTGAGGGCAGGGCTTCACAGTCACGGCTGTCCTCACGAGGTGCTGAATGGGTAGGTCGGAGGGGGAGCTTGGGAGTCCGTGTTTCCACAAGTTCCCCAGGTGACTCTTCACGATGGGCGAGGTTTGGAAAGTGCTTTGGCTGTTAGCGTTTCTGGAGGTCCAGCCCCTTCTGGCGGTCTCAGGAGAGTGAAACATCAGGCCCAGGGATGGTCAGTATCCCCGAGACCCTATCCCCGGTTGTCGGTGTTTGTCATTTCTCCCGGGAGTGCGTCTGCGAGCTTTATCCAGAAAAGTATGTGATTCCAAAAAGGAGAGACTGCCCCCTGATGCCCTCCCAGGGCTTCCCCTGCCCCCCGCACTGCACAAAGCTGTCTTTCTGCTCCATCTCTCTGGATCTCCTTTGCACCCATATTTTGAAGTGCCCGTTCAGAATCTCCATTTTTGGTTGTCCTTGAAACACCTCACACTCAACTTGTCCAAGACAGAACCTTCTGTCCGTCCTTCCCAAAGCCTCCCTTTTCCAGAGCAGCAAAAGGCACCCCTGTCCTGATTACCGCAGCCGGACTTGAGAGCCAGGCCATTTCGGCTCTGCCCTGTTCCCTCACATCCACAAGCCCTGAGACGCTGTGCCGAAGTGGACCTCAAATCAGCTCTGTCTCCTTTTTCCCTCTTTCCCACATTTCTTGGTACCACAGGGGCCCATCTCTGGGCCGCAGATGCTTCAGGGGCCTGAGGGAGTCAGGATACTTAGTGTGGCAGAAGGGGGAGTGGTGATCCCTGTGGAGAACTGCGGTCTGTGTGTCTGTCCTGCCTGAAGGGTGACTGCATGGTGCCAGCCATCGCTGCCGTGTCAGAATTTGGGCCCACTACTGCCAGAACCTCTGAGGAGCCAGAAATCTAGGTCTTTATATGAAGTCTGATTTTTGAGTTGCTTTTTCTATGCATCGGTTTCCACTCGTACTGTTACTAATTTATTTCTTCTGCTTAATATGGGTTTAATTTGCTGGGGGTTTTCCCCTGTCTCTCAAGATGATTTTAAGCCTGCCTTTCTTCTCAATTTAAGCCTTTACAGTTGCGATCCAGTCCAACGCTGCTTTAGCTCTATCCCATTTGGATAGGTTGTGCTCCCTTGTCATTCGATTAAAGGTATTTCTAGTTTTCCCTATGATCTCTTTGAGCCATGGCTTATTTGGAAGTGTGTTGTTTAACTACAAATGTTTATGGATTTTTTGGCTATCTTTTTGTTATTGATTTTTAAGTGAGTTTTGTTGTGGTCAGAGAACATACTCTATGTATGTAATTTCAGTTATTTGAAATTCGTTGAGACTTACTTTTACGGCCCCAAATACGGTCTATTTTGGTGAAAGTTTCTTTGTGTGTTTGAAAAGACAGTGTATCTGCTGCTATGTGTGGAGTGTTCCGTCGGTGGTATAGGTCAGGTTGACTGACAGTGTTCAGGTTTTCTATCCTCATTTTTTTATCTACTTGTCCTGTCAATTGCTGAGGAGTGTTGATGTCTTACATTTGTGGATTTGCCCATTTCTCCCATTAGTCCTGGCAGATTTTGCTTCTAAATTGTGTTTTAAATGTTGTATGGGTGTGACTTAAGCCTTCTGAGAAACGGACATGGCCTTGGTTTTAACTGGTCTTCCTCCATTTCGGTTGTGCCGAAGTGGTCTTCCCAAGCCACAGGCCTGACCGCATTGCCAAGAAAGGCCCTAGACTCGAGGGCCTAGACCCCTAGGGGAAGAGAAGACAAGGTCCAGACCTGCTAGCAGGGCATTCAGGGGTTCTCAACCTGTTTCTGCAATCTATTCCTGCCACCCTGCGCCACCCCCTGCACCCTCCAAGGTGTTTCCATATCACCGTTTCTGGGTTTCTTGATGCCTGTCGGCCTGATGTCCTTCCTCTCAGAAACCAGCCCAAATGTTTCCTTTCTAAATCCTTCTCTGAAGATATGCCCCACCTCACTCCATGCAGAATGCATCGTTCCCCAGGCACTCGGTACAGTCTTCAGTTATAACACACAGTCCTGTGGCGTCGGTGTCTCCTGTTCACGTGCATGTCACGCTGGTGCTGTGAGTGCCAGCAGGGCAGAGGTTGAGTCCACCATGGACTTCAGCCTCGCGGAGTGCCCTGCACACAGTAGGGCAGGCGGTAAATTTTGAAGAAGCAAATGCGAACTGCTGTCCCCCGCCCCCGCATCCCTGCCCCCGGTGGCTTGAAGTGAGGAGTGTGTGTGGGATGCAGCTGCAGCACGGAGCCCAGGCTCAGGAATGTCGGGCTGCGGGAGGGTAGAGGAAGGAACTGGGCAGCCATCTGCTCTAGAGCTCCTCAGCTGAACCCCTAGAGTGGAGCGCGCTGCTGAGGGACGTGGTGGCCAGTGCTGCCAGACCTGGGCAGGCCCTTAGCTCCGCTGCTGTTTTGGACCACAGAGTCCCCAAAGACCGTAAGACAGGGTCGTCCTCGCTGGGAAAGTTCACTCACCACGGTAGTGATGGGGCCCAGGTCTGTGCACTCGCTGACCCCAGGGCCAGGGTCAGGTGAAGCTCAATACTGGGCATCATCTTACCGTGGTAGGGGGAGGTTTCGGCGGAAAGAGAGGAGAGGGAGGGAGGAAGCGAGTCCACGTGGGAGGATGTTGTCACCGAGGCCAAAGTGGGGGGCTCTTGGAAGGACCGGTCAGCAGCGAGTGGGCAAAAGCAAGTGCCCGGAGAAGACAGCTGGATGTGCCTGTTAGTGGCCAGGCCCACCCTTTGAGGGAGAGTCGGGTCGGGGGGTGGGGCTGGCCTCAGCGGAGGAGAGGAGTCAGGAGCAAGCTTCTGGCCCACCCCATCTTTCTCACGCTCACCCGACCCCTCCCCCAGTCTCCCAACCCTGAGAAAATACCCCTTGGCCCTCCTTGCCAGGTCCCACCTACGGTCCCCGTTCCTCTATAGACACCACCTGCATTTGTCCATGGGCTGCCCTGGCAGGGGGATGAGAGTGTGTGGGTGAGAGTCACAGGGGCAGCTGGGCTTTCTTGTGTGTCCCCAGCAATTGCCTAGTACGAAGGGCTGGGATAGCTTTGTTCAGTGAGCCCCAAACCAGGGGTCTCAGGCTGCCATGCAGGCAGACCCCAGGCCGCCGTCATAGGTCACGACGGGCCAGATGAGAAGACAGGGCAAAGACACATACGAGTCCTGCCTGAAGGGGGCAGCTTCCCTGCAACTCAGCAGACAGAGTGAGGTTGTGGTGTTTTATGAAATAAATCACAAATCTGGACTTTTCAAGTGAAATATGCCAGTAGTTTGTCAAACCTGGCCTTCAAGAGAGGGTTCGTAGCGCTTCTTCCTGGGTGACCCAGTGCCCTGATGGGCCAGGCCCCTGAGAGCCGCAGTGCCAGCCAGGGAAGCTGAGACTTGCTGCGGGGGCCCTGGAAAAGGACTTCCAGTGGAGGTGAGACGTGGTCAGACCGTGATTTTAAAGATGAAAAGAGAAATAGGATCATGGGGCCCAGAGCTGTGGGGAGACCTGAGCACCATGGAGAATCAAATGCAGGGGCCGTGGGGACTGGAGAAGGGTGCCCGGGTCCTGTGTAAAGGGCTCTGGCCCATTCTTGCCTGCCAAGAACACGTGCCCACTGTGGCCACAACTCCAGTTTTCAAAAGAGGCCAGTTGTTAGGTGAAGTTTCCTAATTTTTAAATGTTGAATCAGATTTTTGAAAACACGCTGGACGGGTAAAGCGAACCCTGCAGCCCCCCAGCTGTCGATTCTGCCTTGAGGTACGTGTGGCACTTGAGGGTTCCTCTTGAGGAGCGATGTGGAGTGGGCTGGAGCCAGCTGCCTGGGTTCAGATCGGAGCCCCGCACTTGCTGGCGGTGTGACCTTGGGTGGCCTCGGCTCTCATGGCACCTGCCTTAGGAGGTGAATCGCCCGGGCACAGAGGGAGTGCTGTGAACGTAGCCTCGTTCTTGCTGTTCTTGCTGCAGTGGAGCGGAGGCGGAGGGACAAGATCAACAACTGGATCGTCCAGCTTTCAAAAATCATTCCAGATTGTAATGCAGATAATAGCAAGACAGGAGCGGTGAGTGCCCTCCGGCCCTCAGTGCTGTTGCGGCCCGTCCCCGACCCCTTGCGGAGAGTCTGCCTGGCCGCCAGAGGCGGGAGCCACCCGGGGCCGAGCCGGTGGGCGGCGGGCGGCGGCCAGCGGGCGGTGCTGACGCTCATGCCCACCCCCCAGAGTAAAGGAGGGATCCTGTCGAAGGCCTGCGACTACATCCGGGAGCTGCGCCAGACCAACCAGCGCATGCAGGAGGCCTTCAAGGAGGCCGAGCGGCTGCAGATGGACAGTGAGCTCCTGAGGCAGCAGGTGAGCGGCAGGCCTGGGCGGGTGGCGAGGCGCGCCCAGGAACCCCAGGACGCGGGGAGCCAGCCCCGGCTGCCTGTGCCCCGTCGTGTCTGGCAGATCGAGGAGCTGAAGAACGAGAACGCCGTGCTCCGCGCCCAGCTGCAGCAGCACAACCTGGAGATGGTGGGCGAGAGCGCCCGGCAGTGACGCCGTCCGCAGCGTGCGGCGCGGGCCGCCTCCGGGCCCCTGCCGTCCCTTTCCCCAGCCCTTAGCACAGAGAGGGACAGACGCCCCTCCCCCAGCTGCGTTTTTTATAGTAGATTTTTAACAAAAAACGGGGAGAAATAATGAATTTCTGTGGATAAGCACCCACTGCTCTCCTCAACTTGGAAACAATATCCTCCCTGCCCGTCTGTCTGTCTCCCTTCTCCCGGCCCCTACTCAGCCCTGGCACTTCTAGTGGCCTCACCTGGAGGCAAGAGGAAGGAGGACAGAGCCCCTGCCATACCCCACTGCCTCCTTGGACTCTAGACGTACTGAGACAGGGTGCTTATGGGAAGGAGGGGAGCCTTTGGGGGGCCAGCCCTGGGGCCTGGACCTAAGCAGGGAGGCCATGTCCCACCCCACCTCTTGTTTCTGGAACCCTGCTCCCCTTTGGGTGTGTGAGTGTGTTCTAATTTTCTTTATGGAAAAAAATGGACAAAAAAAAAATAGAGAGAGAGAGAGGTATTTAACTGCAATAAACTGGCCCCATGTGGCCCCGCCTTGTCTGTCTGTGTATCTGTCCATCTCAGGTGTGGGGAGGGAGTCTGGGGTCTGTGCAGGGCTCCTGAGGGCAGGGCTTCCCTCTTGTGTTGGTGGCTGTGTGCTGGTCCCTGCCATCCAGTACCGCCTGGTACCCAGTCTGTTGGTTGTGTGGATGAAGGAATTAAGGAATGAATGGCCTCGTGGAGGCCCCAGGTGTTGCATATGTGGTGTGGGGGACAGGGGGAGCCAGGGTCAAGGACATGTCCCATGTGTTTGGAGGAGAGGCTGGGGTCTTCGTGTCACCAGTTCCTAAACAGGACTGGCTCCTGGCCCTGCTCTTCTGGGCTGACGCCCTCCCCTCTGCATCAGCCAATGGTGGGGCCTGGCCTTGAGCACCCCCACCCCCAGGGAGGGCAGATGGCCAGGAAGCCAGGCTTGGCCCGTCAGCCTGTCGCCTTGCGCTGCAACTCTGGCGCCTGTGCTGTGACCCCTGCCCCTGGTTGATGATGAAACCTGGCCTGAGTTGAGATGCAGTGATGCCTGGCAGTGCTGGGCGATGCTGCCGTGTCTCCCCGTGCAACTCCAGCCACTCCCAGCATCTAGGCCTGGTCACCTGACTGAGCTCGCCACGCTGCGCCCATCCCAGATGCCCCCAGCTGGTTTCTTCCTTCCAAGGGCCCCGTCTCCTCTCCTCCTCTGTCTGAGAGTGAGGTTGTGTGCAGCTGGAGGGGCCTAACAGAGTGAGTGGGGAGGCAAATGGCAGGGAACAGCATTACTTCCCAGGGGCCCCCCACTTTTGTGCTCTTTGAGTGGGCCCTGGCAGCAGTTTGGGGCCAGGAAGAAGAGTTCATTCCTTGACAGCACCATCCCCAGGTTCGTAGGGTTAACACTGGATGGCCCTAGAGTGAGTCGGAGAGGGAAAATGGCCAAGGGGCCATCTCTGGAGTCAAGGTTTGCTGTTCTCCTGGGCCGTGTGCGCTCTAAGATGGTTCAGGTCATGGGTAGCAATGAGGTTGCCGCAGTCGGGCAGCCTCAGCTCAGCTCCCCTTTGCATGGTGGGCAGGGAGCCGGCCCTCTGAAGGAAAGCCTGGGTGGTTAGTGTTTGCCGACGTCTGTGGCGTAAGGACTCCCACATCAGTGGGTTTCAAGGTGCCAACACGATGCCCCTAACTTTGGAGTTGGGATGGGACGCGCACAAGCTGCTTGTTGAGCCATATGGGCCAGGTCCGGCAGACCCACCGTGCCCTCCTGTGTTTTCTGGGAGGCAGGAAAGCCTGGGGATGAGGGCACAGGCCCCAGTCAGGCTGCCCGGGCTGAAGTCCCGACTGCCTCTGGCTGGCCGAGCTTGGGCAGCGCCCTCACCTTTGCCTGCAGCTCCTCTCCTGAAAAGTGAAGAAAGTAAGTCTCAGGTGGACATGGTGGACTCCTCTCTCAGGAGCAGGATCTAGGAAGCCTGGCCCCTGGGGTCAGTGGCTGAGAAGGCAGCTAGCACCCGGAATACAGAGCAGAGCCCAGGATGGGTCAGGTAGGAGCTGCCCAGAGGATAGGTGGCACAGGCCGAGTTAACCCAAAAGTGAGGCAATACACCTGCCGGCTCATGAGGTGCAGTCAGATGTTAGCTATTACCGTCACCACTGTCTTTTTTGGCCAAAAGTTCGCAGGAACATTTCCCAGATACCAGGGCCACATCTTAAGTTTCTGACACTTGAAAAACCCTACAGGTGGGGCTTCCCTGGAGGTCCAGTGGTTAAGACTCTGCCTTCCAATGCAGCGGGTGCGGGTTCCATCTCTGGTCGGGGAGCTAAGATCCCACAGGCCTCATGGCCAAAAACCAAAACAAAACAAGCAATATTGTAACAAATTCAATAAAGACTTTAAAAGTGGTCCACATCAAAGAAAAAAAAAAAAAGACCCCATACGTGTTCTGGGGGCTCCTGTCGACACAGACTCCTGCACGTGGCCGTCACGGTGTTCCCTGCCCGGCAAGTGACAGCCATATGGCATGTGAATGAGGAGGCCGGGGAAGGGTGGGGAAGGAGGGCGCCTCACTCCTGCTCATCGACCAGTTCAGCTGCTGGGGCAAAAGGTGGAATTTTTTCTGAAATCAACAGGGTGATGTCATGTTGGGGAAAGTGTTTCCCAGGTGGCTGGCAAGAGGCGTGTGTCTGTGGTCGCGTCTGTCCCACCTCCTGGACACACCTCTGCTGGCTGAGGGTGACACAACCCTGTTCCCTGTCACTCTGTTCCCGCTTATCTCTCCCGCCTTTTCGGCGCCACCACCTTCTTGGAAATGAGTTGGGCCAAAGGGGAGGGGGCTTAGCATCCCCGCCCCCCCTCCCCCAGGAGGCCCCATAAAAGCAACTGTAACTGGGCTCCCAGACACCAGAGCAAGTCCTAGACGTAACAGAAGGACAGCCAGACGGACGGCACAATGGCACTGAACGCGCAGATCCGGGCCACCTGCCTCCTGCTTCTCCTGGTCAGCCTGACCAGTGGCTTCGTTCTCCCACCCCAGGTGAGAGCCCACAGGGTCTGGGCCCAGGAGGGCAGCCAGAATCGCAACGGAGAGCCAGGCCCCTGGGAGGGGACAGCGGAGGGCAGCAGGAGACCCCAGCACGGGCCAGAGCTCAGGGCAAGCAAAGGGGGACAGACAGCTGCTCGAAGTGCAGAGATGGGGTACTGAGTAGCAGGGACTGGGGGCCCTGATCTAATTCCACAGTTATTTATTGAGGGCCTACTCTGTGTTAAGTCCTCTTCTAGACAGTGGTGACCAAGCAGTGAACAAGGTAGATGAGAGAAGACTCTCGTGGAGCTTACATCCTGGTCAGGGAAATTAGTCAGTGAACTTAAAACAAGTGAACACTTGTGTTCAGTAAATGCTATTCGTGAATAACATAAAAGATGGTGGAAGAGTGGTGATGTGGGTTGGCTTCTTTAGCTGGCATCAAGGGCTGGCTCTTTTGTGAGAAAATGTTATTTGACCTATGACAGGGAGGAGAAGAGAAGGGGGCAGCCAGCCAAGACCAAGGTGGGGCAAGCATGGTGTACCGGAGGACTAGAGGGCTTGGTAAGGGAAGGAGATGGTGCTTCGAGAGGAGACCAAGGGGTGGCCATGCCACGTCTCGTGGGCAACTGTGCAAACGCTGATCTTCCTCCAAGCACAGGGGAAGCCCTGCAGGCTTTTAAGCCGAGATCTGACGGATAACCCATGCGGAACGGGTTGTAAGGGACAAGATACAGGCAGGGACTGGCCTCCAGGCCACGGAGAGTGCTAAGGAAGAGTGAGCAGCTGTGGAGAGAGAAGACAGATCTGGGATGTTTGTAGGCAGGAGAACCACCCGTGGGAAGGTGCGGAAAGGCCACAACGTAAGGCCACTCCTAGGATTCCAGCTGAACCAGCGGACCCAACCCCTGGGGAGGAGCTGGTCGGTAGGAGCGAGACTGAGAGCTCTGCCGGGGGCCCTGCCGTCCTCAATTCCCCTTTTGCTTTCACAGACAAGACAGCTCGCAGACCTCCAGACCCAGGACACAGCAGGAGCTGCAGCTGGCTTGACGGTGAGGTCCCCTGGCACTCCCTTCAGAGCCTCCCACGCCTTCCCATGCCTACGCCCCGCTCACTGCCCTTCTTTCCCACAGCCCGTGCTCCAGAGGCTGAGACGAGACACCCACATCCCCATCTGCATGTTCTGCTGCGGCTGCTGTTTTAAAGCAACATGTGGGTTATGCTGCAGAACATAGAGCAGCCCCTGCTGCCCTGCCCCCAGTCCCTTATTTATTCCTGCTACCCTCCAACCCTCAGTGAACGGTCTTGGAATAAAATGTCCGGTTCTAGCTCTTATTTTCCAAACCAGAGTCCATTGTCTTTTCTCCCTGCCAAAGGCCTATGCCAGAGGCTCGTTGTGGCCCCTGTCTTGGGAGGGCCAGTTCTCGGTGGGGTGTGCGGGGTTGGTGTGTACTGGGGCTTGCAAGGAAGCTTGTTGAGGGATAGTTGGTTTCTGTTCTTCCCATCTTTCCCCACTTCAGAAAACGTCGAATTTATGTTGCAACAGCAGGGAATGAAAGTTAAAGTTTCCTCCTTACAATCTGCAATTTACAGGGGTAAATTCACATGCCTAGCAAGGGTTCTCAGAGTAAGGTCTGGGGACTGCTCCAGGGCTCCACAAGGTGGAAACTACTAAGATGTTTCCCGTCTTTCTCACTCTCATTCCCTCGTGAGTGGACAGCGAGGCCCCATGACGTGTGAGGACGTCATCCTTCTGACGTCTGGTAGATTGTGTGCTTGTGTGTCTTGTGCTTTAAAAATTTCTGTTTCAATTTCTAATAGATTAAGCACCTATAGGTATAACTCACTAGAACACAAGGTTTTTGAAGTTCTCAGTAAGTTTTCAGAGTATAAAGGGGTCCTGAGACCAAAACACTTGAGAACCACTGGCCTTCAGGGACCACTAGGTGACGCAAATGACTGAGATGTGATGGATTTGTTTCACAGGAGCATCTTCACTTATATTCTCTCAATAACAACATACTTTGCATAGGAGATACGTAGGACAATACTGTTCATCTCCACAAGCGGTTGAATTCCCTCCCTTGCTTCTTGAAAACTGTATCCCTCTCAATTTATCTGATTTCCCCACTTTTGATAGAAGAAATGCAAGATGCATTTCACTATCATCTTAGCCCATGAGAACACCTCAGCGCTAGCGTGACGATAAAGGGCCTCGGCCATTTGGCCTCAATGTTGCATAAAGATAGGGAGTGGGGAGGCCTGGGGCCCCATCTAAAGAGGGCTGCCAGGCATAGCTGCCGTGCCCACAGGCAGGCGACACATGGCTAGAGCGCCTTTTCAAGAGAAGGTGGCGGGCTTCCCTGGTGGCGCAGTGGTTGAGTCCGCCTGCCGATGCAGAGAACGCGGGTTCGTGCCCCGGTCCGGGAAGGTCCCACATGCTGCGGAGCGGCTGGGCCCGTGAGCCATGGCCGCTGAGCCTGCGCGTCCGGAGCCTGTGATCCACAACGGGAGAGGCCACAACACTGAGAGGCCCGCATACCGCAAAAAAAAAAAAAAAAGAGAAGGTGGCAATCCTTATTTTATGTGAAATTTCCTGATCTTTAAAATATTGACAACTGATGAAAGGAATCTGATTTTTTAAAAATCAACACCCTAGGAGCCAAACCAAACCCAGCTGGTAGCCAGATCAGGCCCGTACACTACCGACTTCTGCCTCGGAAGCCACGAGAGGTTGGTCCTCTGGGAGAGGTTTTCCTGAACAGAGACCGAAGGATGGGGAGAGGAAGACGTGGGGAGCTTGGCGTCCTTTTAGCTGCGGGATCTCACAGGCATCCTCCTCTTGCTCTGAAACCCCACTTCCTCATCTGTAAAAGGACAGAAGCCTCTACAGTACTCAGATCGTTGGGCTGTTGAGATGCTCAGAGAGGGAGGAGTGTGAGTGGAAACTGTCAAATACCTCATCAATGCAAAGGATTCGTATTGACAGAGGAGGTGGAGGCCTCTCAGACCCTCCTGATGAATAAACACCGGGAGGTAGGAAACCCAAAATTGCTAATTACACTTGATGATACCAGTGCTCTTCTCTCACCTTAGCCGGTCCTTCAGGTGGTCCTAGTGATGTGAGGCGGAGGCACCCAAACATTAGCGTGCACCCGACTCTCCTGGAGGGCCTGGTAAAATGCAGATTTGGCAGGTCTGGGGTGGGGCCTTAGAATGTGCATTTCTAACGAGCTCCCAGCTGATACTGCTGCTGCTGGCCTGGGGGCCACAGTTTGAAGACTCCTGCTGTTGAAGCTGCCAACTCTGGCTGAGGGCAGAGAGCGCCTCTGGGTTGGACCAACCACCCACTACCCCTCAAGAGCACGTGCAACGAGTGGGCCTGGGAAGGCTTGATTCTGCCCTGAGATCAATTTTGCTTGGTCTGCACAATGTTTTAGACAAAAATTGGGCTAATATCTGAAGATAGAGGTATTTCACATAAAAATCTGAACTCCTGCTGTTATGGGCTGAACTATGTCCCTCTAAAATTTATACGTTGGGAATTCCCTGGTGGTCCAGTGTTTAGGACTAGGTGCTTTCACTGTGGTGGCCTGAGTTCAATTCCTGGTCGGGGAACTAAGATCCCACAAGCCGCATGGCAAAATAGAATAGGATAGAATAGAATCAAATAGAATAGAATAGAATAGAAAGAATAGAATAGAATAGAATCAAATAGAATAGAATAGAATAGAATAGAATGATCTATATGCTGAAGTCTTAATCCGCAGTGCGATTGTGTGGCATTTGGTGCTAGGGTCTTTACAGAGATAATCACATTAAAAGGAGGTCATTACGTTGGGTCCTAATACAATAGGACCGGTATGATTATAAAAAGTGGAAATTTGGACACAGAGACCCGCATATAGGGAAAATACCATGTGGACATGGAGACTTCTATCCTCCAGCACTGTGAGACAATAAACTCTGTTTCTTCAGCCACCCAGTTCATAAGACTTTGTCACAGTAGTCCTAGCAAACTAACACACCTGCCTCGCCTGGAAGGGCCCGGTGATCAGGCAGCACTGGTAGCGGGATCTGAGTAGCACCTCTCCTTTCTCCTGGCACATGCTCTCCGGTCCCCCAGTCCTCCCTTGGGCTGGAGACCTGAGTGCAGATCCCAGCGATAGAGCCCTCTGTGGGACTCACTCATGTGTACATCCCGCCCCCAGGGACAGCCGTCATTCAGTTCACACCCGGAGAGACGATAGACCCGCCCCCCTAAAATGCTCGGGCACAAGACCCCAAGGCGGCTGGCGTTGATGCTGAAGGCTGTGACATGAGTCCCCTAGGATCTCCGTGTCCTCTCCCAGAGCCCAAGCACCACGCCACGCTCTGGTCTGGAACCCTGGCGTTCAAGCCCCAGCCCACTCTCAGTGGGCCTTTGTCCCTGACTGGGAAAGGCACGGGCGGAGTCTGACATCATGAAGCCCGAGGTGGGGGTGGGACTCCCCATCCCCCTCCATCCCCAGTCTGAGGGATTTCCCCACCCATCACCCTCTGCATCTCCCCCCCCACCCCCGGGGCCGGGCTCTCCCTTGGGAGAAAGGACCCTCCCCGCCTCCCTCCCTACTGCCCTGGCCTGAAGGAGGACAGAAGATGCCCCAGTGTGACTAAACAGCTCATGATCAAACCACTACTCCACTTCATCACACCACCATCACCATGCAAAGGTCATGACCAATGGGAGGGGCTGGGGTGGCAGGAGGATCACCGTGGACTCTGCACACAGAGGGTCCCTACCCAGCTCAGAGAGTCAGCACAGCCCTGGCTGAGCACCCTCTGTGCACCAGGCACTGTTCTAGGGGATACAGTGGTGAACAAGACAGACAGACAGGCAGGCGGAGACCTGAGCTCAGATGCCAGTGGGGAAGCAGCTCACTGAGGGTGCAGGTTGGCAAATGGCGTGCTGAGGGCCATAGAGGGACCGGGCAGCATTTAAACAGAGGAACTTGGCTTGGTGAGAGGGGCCGGGCAGGCTTCCAGAGGAAGCAGCGTCCAAGCTGGGAGCCAACAGGCCGCACAGGCTACGGCCAGCAGCGGAGCGGGGAGTGGGACGGGGCAGGGGAGCTTTCTAGGAGGAAGGAAGAGGCGTCAAGGCCTCCGCTCAGGGCATTTGAGGATCACACCCGTGCACCCACTTTGCGTTGACGAATCTTAACTCTGCCAGGAGCCAGCCTCCCGGCAGGCTAGGTTGGGCATAAGCAGCCCATGGCCTGTCCTCCTGGAGGTCATGTTATCACGGGAGGAGAGAGTCAACACATAAGGTTGTTTCCGATGGCAAGAAGTGGCTGGAAGACAATAGACCAGGATGTGGGTACCAAACGCGACACCCTCTAGAGAGGGTGGACGTGACTGGAGCCGAGGGTGAGATGTCCTGCCTCCTCCTCCTGGCCACACCGGCCTCTGTGGCCTCTCAGGCCCGGGGTTATCCCTAACACTGCCACCAAGATCCCCTAGACGCTGAGGACAATGCCTTCTGCTTCTCAGCCTGAGACTCCAGAGATCTTAGAGCATCCTCCCAGGGACCCAGAACCAGGGTACGCAGTGATGGAGGGGTAATGAGTGAGGCAGCCGCCCCCAGCCCCTCCAGGAAGGAGCTCGTAGAACCCAGGCATCAGGCTGCCCAGTTCAAGCAGCGGTGACAAGGGCCCTTTGTGCCCCCCTCCCCCGGGGGCAGGGAGGAGCTGGGCCTTGGAGGCAGGCGGCCCCTGGCACCCAGGGGGAGGGGAGGGACTGGTCAGTGGGGGCCTAGACCCTGGGAGGCCAGGGGACTGCGAGCGGGGCCTGCGGAGCAGAGGGTGCAGAAGCAAGAGCATCAGGTGAGTACTGCAGCCGAGAGGGCTGTGGGACGGGGAGGAGGACAGAGGACCGGGGCTGAGAGCACGGGGCAGGGCCGCCGGGGGCATGTGCAGTGCGAAGCGGTCTGGGCCGTGGATGGTGGCTGGGAGCTGCCGCTAATTTAGGGTGGGGGAAGGTGCTGCTTAGGATTGCTCTGGGCGTGGGCTGGGACCGTGGCAGGGATAGTGACGGGGCCTTGGGAAGAAACCACAGAGAGAAAGAATGAAGAGCCCTCCTCAGCACCCCTCTGGTGGACGTTCTGCCCTGGGGCTCCTAAGTCTGTGGCGGATGGGGTGGAAGTCATCCAGGGACAGGTGAAGAGTGGAGGGATGCCCAGGTGATCAGACGTCTGCCTCCTGCCATCTGGGAGGGTGCGGGCACAGGGGGCTGTGAGTGAGCAAGTTCCAGCACCTGAGCACCTGACGGGGGCGCGTGTGCACATGCACGTGCACCTCTCTTAGTGAGTCTTAATCCACATCCGTGTTTCTCCACCTTTATTTACACCTCACTAAGGAAAGCTTTTAGACCTGTTTTTCCTAATCCAGCTCCCCCCATGAGATCTTAATATTACGGATAGACGGTATATGTTTATGTACCGTGGTCCTTTAGAGAGCCACAAACCACTGT